GGTGCCAGTGGAAAGTCTGCATGGTGGTCATGAATTTCTTCAGGATACTCGAGGTCAACTTCGAGAATGTAGCCGGTGGCCGCGTCATCACTGATGTCTAAAACATTTATTTCAGTATCTTTTCGCCATCTAAAGTCACCGAATGGCATTGCCTGCGACATAGCCCAAGCATATAGGTTATTCGCATCTAAGTACACCAGGGGCCCATTTCATAATAAAGTACAAACTAATATTATTAGTAGATCAGCTGATCGCCCAATGCAAATCTTATGGAAATTACAAGTTACAAGTTGTAACTTGTAACTTGTAGTTTATTATGAAATGGGCCCCTGGTAGCTAGGTTCTTTGTTCTCATCGAAGCCTTGACTCATGTACTTGTTGTTGGCTCGAGCTTGTCTCAAGCAACACTGCGAAACACCTCCACGAATTCCTTTTTCAACCATTAGAATCATATCGAGGTCGGTTAGTAACTGGAGCTCTACATCAGTGAGTTTCAGCATCGCCGACCAGGCTAATCCGGGAGCTGTGAAGTACCACGCTGGATCGAGACTATATGTTTGAAGGCAAACGTCTCTGAAGTTGTCCATAACATCTGCCAACTGGAGGACGTCAATCTTGTTGTAAAACAATGTGTACTCTCTCATATCTTTGATGTTGAACTCATTCCAAACCTTTTGAGCATGCTCATAATCTGATTCTGATACATCACACTTATTTAATTTGTTTTTGAAATCATGAAGTTCCGGCAGAGTTGTCATATCATATTTTGTTATGTTATCCATAAAGTCATAGGGATAAACTCCTTTTCTTGTTACCAACTCTATCTGTGATGATCTGACAAATCTCTTTGTATGCTCCAACTGATCTGTAGTTAAATTGTTAATCAATTGGTCTAAACTTGCACTTAAAAACTTAAAAGAGTCCAAGAATCTCAGTTCCAACCCTCCCCTAACTTGAACGGTGAATGATATATATCGCTCATCATTTTGGGGAATCACTTTGAGTTTCTCACCTTGTCGTCCTATTTCTTTGATGAACTGATGTATGTCATAGCCAGAAAGGTTGTGCAAGAAAACAGGAATAAATTTGGGCTTAAGAAACAATAAGTTACATTTGGAATGGGCAGGGCCTCGATACAAACCGGTGAGGTGGTCGTGATCCCTCACTTTGTCGGTTTCATTGAGAGGTTCCTGGCAGATGTGACAGGTTACCGCTTCTTTATGTCTACGTATCTCTTCTTCCTCCAGTGGTTTCATTGGAATGATCTTTTCGTAGATTTGTTTTATCTCTACGGCCTCCTTTTTCAACACCTCGACAAACTTTCGTCCAGCATCTTCCCCGAAATATGTCGTTGGAGGCTTTTCACTGCCAGAGATATAGTAACAGAAACTTATAGCTTCGTGTTTCTGATAGCTGTATGTGTACGATCTCTTAGCACCGTTTTCATCAACTCCCGATGGTTCACAAGTAGAAATCGGGAGGAGCATGCTCTCCAGATCAGCATAAATGACATAAGGAACTTTCATTGATTTATTGTGTTCCGTAAATCTTATTTTGTCATTTTTTCCAGCGGTAGGGAGCTTTATTTTTAAGGGATCATGTCTAGAGCAGTCCTCCATATGTGTCTTCAAATTGTCTTCGTTATGAAAGTGCTGAAGACAACGTCTGCATATATAGCATTTTCCTTTATGTTTTGTAGCTTGACTGCGAACTAAACGAGATAGGTTTTTGATTAGACAGTAGTGTGAGTTCGTTCCATCTTTAACCAACAACAGGTCTACATGCACGGGCTTTTCTTCATCTGTTACACACAAGGGAAAAACATCACTATTTTCTTCAAGACCGTATACATTGATCGATAATCCTGCACGCTTTTCAAATTTTTTTACATCAGTCAGTTTGACTGGAAAATCTATCCCATCAAATAACTTGAGAAATCCATCTACGTAAGCAGTGTAGCTGTCGATCCGCTCCGGGTGTACGTTTGAAGGGTGGAGTGCTGCTTGACAACACCACATGAAACAACGCTGATCGTTGTTTTTTATGTTTACAACAGCACGTTTCAAGCGAATTTTTTCTGGGAGGGCTATGTAACTAGACCCTTTCAAATTCTTAAGTCGGTTGATATGTAAAAAAAGACATTCAATCGTTTTCATGTTCCAATTGGAGCCTTTGTGATTAAAACTTTCCATCTCAGTCAATAGTTTTTGTTTTGCCTCATTTAACAAATCTGATAGATTAGAATCTTCGTAAATGATGATGTTTTTCGTTTTGAATTCGAAATCAGATTCGACTTTTTCCGTAATCCCTTTAGCGAACTTTGCCTTAAGGATAAGTTGGATTTTCAATGAAGTTCCCTCATCACGAACCTTTTCAATTATAAGTTTTTTGGAATCTTCAATAAAAGTTTCAACACTTTTGTAACCATTTACTTTGACATTATTGATCTCAAACGTCTTCATTCGACCTCTGAACGCCGTTTTAGATTGGATGATTTCAAGATTAGGTGGTGGCGGAGGCTTACGTGGGACTTGCACTATGATGGATGGCCGAACTATGATGGATGGCTGAACTATGACGGATGGTCGGTTTAGTTGCTGTTTTTGTATCCACGCCGCTTGGTGAGCTCCACTCCCAGTATGACGGGCCCAGTTTTTCCTAGTAATACTGAGGTGACATACATCACAGAACTTTAATGTTTTTGTATCGGCTCTCCTGACAGGTAGAACCTGCACGACATCCGAAACATCTTCTTCCTGCTCTTGAATGTCCATCATCTCACTAGCACCTTGTAGTTGTTCCAAAATATCCAACTCACTATGTTGGGCTCGACGACGCTTCGGTGATATAGGACGGGTCTCGTTATCACTGTCGTTGTCAGTAGGAAACGACCGCTTGGTAGCACTTTGAACAACCGGTGACACATGATGTTCTCCGTCAGAGACCGAGGCAACATCCAAGCGGTGTTCTTCCCTAGCACCTTGTTGTTCCTCAATATCGTCTTTATAACGTTGGAACCAACGACGCTTCGGTGGTGTAGGAAGGCTGTCGTCATCACTCTCGTTGTCACTAGGAAACGATCGCTTCGTAGCACTGACACTAGCCATCACCGCAAATCCTCGTCACACTTATAAATGGTTGAAAACTTACTTTTCACGCACTACACAATTTCAAAGACTCGAAAAATAGCACCTCTCACAACCACCTCTCAGAGAAGACTGACGCAAGACCGCGCGGGCTGTTGCACAATCGTCGAAACACATGACCATATATAGTAATGTTCTCGAACGTTCCAAGATGATCACGTGACCTATCACGTGGCATTTCCTTTTATGGTAATGTTTCTAGAACATTCCATGATCACATGATCCCAAGACAAGTGACGTCACTAAACACGGAACGACTCAACTCAAAAGACACGTAAAAATCAACATGAAAACAATGAGTTTCAAATGGCGTGTCAGTATACATTGAGATCGAAATACTACATCTTCATACAAATCCTCTAGTGAAAACATGAGCACCGAATGATGCAATCGGCGCCATTTTTGTGCAGTTGAGAACCTATTGGTGGTCCTATATAAAATGAGATTCAAAAGCTGTTGTCGTTTTCGATCTCAACCGTGAGATCCTATTATACGACAAGTATACCAAATGAGAACTGATTTAACGTTGCAATCGGCGTCATTTTTGTGCAGTTGAGAACCTATTGGTGGTCCTATATAAAATGAGATTCAAAAGCTGTTGTCGTTTTCGATCTCAGCCGTGAGATCCTATTGTACGACAAGTATGCCAAATGAGAACTGATTTAACGTTCTTTATATCTACACAAAAAAAAATTGTCATCCAAATCAGAGGATCAGTCTCTGTCTGTAAGATCATCCTCTGTTTACATGTGACGTCATGGACACACCTCCCTTCCCGACCTACCTCAACCCACGTGGTCTACACTCCTCCCTCCTCTGTCCTAGAACGTGAGTTTCAAATGGCGTGTCAGTATACATTGAGATCGAAATACTGCATCTTCATACAAATCCTCTAGTGAAAACATGAGCACCGAATGATGCAATCGGCGCCATTTTTGTGCAGTTGAGAACCTATTGGTGGTCCTATATAAAATGAGATTCAAAAGTTGTTGTCGTTTCTGTAAAGTCGTCCAAATCAGAGGATCAGTCTCTGCCTGTAAGGTTAGGTTAGGTTAGGCAAAGTGAGGTTACCTACCTCAACCCACGTGGTCTACACTCCTCCCTCCTCTGTCCTAGAACCCCCAAAATGACTACTACTGCCCCCGATGAATTATTTTATGTTCATTTTCTAGTAATTTGTTATTTATCTGTTAAAAGTTATTTGTTTATTTATTTATTTGTTAAATATTCAGTTACCATTTTGTTAGGAAGGGTAAATTAAATCCCATGTTATTTGAAACTTTTAAAATAACTCTTTGGTTTGTTGTACCACTTGTTTTGTTTGTTGATTTTTGATATTATAAGCTGTTTCTAATTTTATTCTTTTCCGTTCACCCACGGCCTTTCAGATTTTAGGTAGGGTTGTGGGGCGACCAATCGCACTGTCACTATGGGGGGGACATGCTTCCACTAGTTCGTGTGGGGGCCGTGAGAGGGGTGAGCTCAAAACATCGAAACATCACATCACTGTAATCATGTTTTGTGTACTGAAGCACTGAGATGATTGGTTTAATTCATTTCATGATTCATTCTGGACAACACGGTACGTTGCTCCATGATGGTGAAGTACGTGAGGTTTCAAATGATATATTCTTTACAGAGTGTTTTCTTTTACATATTAAGACATTGCAAGATTATGATTATGAAGTTTTTGACTATGAAGCGCTGTGAGACGTTATGTTGTTCATCTCTAAATAAAAATATCATCATATTGTAAACTGGGTTATGAAAAAAATATATATATTGCATGTATAAAAGATTCAAGCTAAAATAAAACCTTGACAACTGTTTGACGGGATTAAAAAATATAAAAAAGCCAGTATAACATTATATTTGCAAATATCAAAACATACAAGAACAATCAGTATCAAAATAACATTGACTTTGTTTAATACAATTATGGTTCAAAATATTATGACTTTATTGACAAAAATTACAGTCTTTGTTCAAAATTATAAACAATATTAATAGTATCTTACGCCCAGGCCAATATTTTTCACAGAGTCCATTAACTCTGTAACGAGATCATACTTTTCTTCGCTGTTTTTTCCAAATCCAGTGACTCCAAATTTGGAAATTCTCTCGCCCCAAAGTCTAGTGTCAGTCAGCTTTAAAAGTGCTGAACATAGTTGTTTCTTTCGTTCATCTGGGGGAAAATCATTTGAAAATATTACAAACTTTTGAAATAGATAATATTTCAGGATAGTAGAAGGAGGTTCCTACAGTTGATTTTTACCAATAAATATGGCATTTGTTTTTGTATTTTTTACATGTTTAGACACCAGTTCAAGAGTGCATATTTAAAACATTTTTTTGGAAAGTGGGTTGGCGAAACTGCCAATGATTATCTGTGAAATTTAGAATTATTTTAAACGTTAAAGTTATTTCAAATTGTCTATCTAGTCAACTTAAATTTAGATTTTGTAGGCATGAAGCTCAATCACTTTCATCTTACCACAGTAAAATATTCCTTTGAAAACGAAAGGAACAACAGATTCAACAATGGAAAATATCAGATATTTCAGGCATTGAATGAAAACAACATTATGAGATACAGCTCCTCTCTTTGTAGTCACCGCTGGATTTTGGGTACTTGGGGCCCTTGGCCAAATTAACCCTAGCAGCCCCCGCCCCTTAGGTTAAACTTCCCCACGATCACGGCAAAACCGTGAACATCTCCCCCAATCAAGGTGACATCATGATTGTTACCCGCAATCGCAGAGGTATCATGCAATCTTCTGCAATCAAGGATACATCATCATCATTTTTTCTTTGTGATTGCGGAGAAATAGTAAACATCTCCCACAATAACTTAGACAGCATCATTGTTTGCCGCAATTGTAGCAAATTACTAATTGAAAAATAATATTTCAACTCTTGTTCCACAAAATGTTGTTGTACCATAATGTTTCGGCCCTTTTGCTTTCAAATAGGCCCCAGCCTAGTCGGACTAAGGGTAAATCCGACTCTGTTTGTGGTGAAATACTATTAAAGAAGCTAGTGCCCAGTAGCCTACCTACCTTAAAATCTAAAGTTGAAAGGTTTTTTATGAGTCAAGAGTCCGCCTAAGACAAAGATATCACAGTACCTGACATCCTAGAGTTGACAATGATTGGGTAAGGAGGCAAAGGCCCCAGACTGTCCAATACAAAGATGTCTTTCCCTCGGTCTTGAAGGTAGAGTTGGTTGTAGGCTAGAGTGTTAGCGTCAACTGCTGCTGCTTCCGCTTGCTTCTGTAGAACCATCTGTATCGAGGCTAGATGAGAGCCTGACCCTATTGGTACAGAACAGTCAATTTAACCATCAAATGTAAAGAATATGACTAAACAAATGTTTTGAAATAAAGGTGGTTTAGTTAAACCATAATATTGTAGGAATTGGCTACCCGTAACGTCAGCGGGACTATGGCCTCCCCACGGGGGCGTTCATGAATAGAATATTATCTACTCTTCTAGCAGGTCTGCACACAGGCCCGTTGTTTGTATGTGATTTGCTATAGGTCTGATAGATAATTCCGCCCCTCTCTTCCTACGTTGTGGGGAATTTTTGTCTTCCTTACGCCCCCAAAGAACCTAAAACCTCTTGTGTCCCTAAAAGTGGGGCTACACATGCAGCATTGGTTGAGCATTGAGCAGCTTCTTATTCTTGTCAAATAAAAACTAGTACAATTGTATATTGCTACTTGTCATTCAGCGAACAGCAGTGCTCCTGTTCCTGTTAATTTTTTACGATTATTTACTACTCCTACAACAAATAGGTTCCGAGAATGAGATGAATGTCTAGGAACTTCTGTGACAATAACAATGCAAAGCAGCTCGCCATTGTCAAGTAACTTTCGCTCGCATGCAACATTTTCAAACCCTCTCTAATGTCTTATTTTTGTTTGCAAGTAGAATGACCATAGACAATTTTGAGTTAAATCAAACATATTTTAGTTGGTAGCAATGCACATCATCAGTTTGACTAGAATAAATATAAGGTAAAATCAGTGCTTTAAGTTTTGTGGAACGCACATAAGGTTAAAGTATAATTATTTACTTTACAAAGAAAAATTATTAAGTGCTACAACTATTATTTGTTTACATTGTCAGACAATAAAACCATCAAAAGTATTGAAACTTAAAACAACAAAGCCTGTACAGTGTCCTTACTTATAGAGTTTCCAAAGAAGGAAGCGTTTTCTCCCAATTCCTTTAACCTCTTCAGCACGATCGTAGAACTACTGAGAGATTCATCAGTCGAGTACGCCCATCTACATCCTCGCAGATCTAGGAACTCTTTGACATGCTTCCTAGAAATAATATATAAATTTAATAAAGTTATTATTTTTCAATTAAAGAAATATGGAGGAAAAAGAGGGTAAATTTAAGATGGAGTTGAAATAAGCATATGGAGGGTATAAATTGTCAAAGTACATAGGAAACATCCAATTGTACACTTAAGTGGTGAGTAGCACTAGTCGCTGGTGTATAGGGCAAAGTCCAACACCACCTCGTCACCATCATATACTACTATGCTCATGGTGGAGGAAGACCATGTGCCCTGTGCGATAGAAATTTCCACACAGTGTTTGCTTCTAGGGCTCTTCTTTGCTAATGACAAGTACATTTTCGAGGCAATATACCAAAGTTGAAAGCGCAAGATTGTACAGCGACAGGATTTAAACATTTTATTTATTTAGTACATCTATGCAATCATCGGAATGGACTGCTGTCAGAAGTGTATACATTTTTCAGTGCGAGAACGCTCATCATCCTGTTGGAAAAAGACAGGTCGCCAAATAAAACATGGGATTTTAGAAAAAAAGATTGGAAATGTTGTTCCCACACATTCCTTCCTCACTATACCACTGGCTGCTGTTCATAATAATATAATTTATATAAAAGATACTCAATCCTTTATTGAATTATCTGATCCCCTTCCCTTCCTCCGATGAGAAGGCATTTCTCACATTCTTTCATTATTCTCTACGTTGTGAAATAAAATGTCACACATTCTTTAGCATATATTTCTTAAACTAAAACAATTTTTTTAACGGTTATACTACACTGTTCTCTTTTCACATCAGTAAAATATTGGGCGAGAGACGCAATACTATAGAGCTTCAATCTTCCGGATCAACTAAAACCGAATCCCATTCAGATAATAATACTTCGGAAATTGTTTTTTGGCACTTGGGGCGAGATGTTGTCGGGTGCTTTCCTCCTCCAAAAACTCACTGACATAACCTGACTGCGGGGGAAAAAAACTTACTGCGGGAACCTTTCAATATTTGTATACGACGCACAAGACGATTTTCATGTTCCCATGACTGTGGGATATGTATGATCACAAAGGATGAAAATCGAGGGGCATAAACAAGATTATTGTCCCAATTGCAGGAGATGGTGATGATCTCCGCACAACCACACCATGACGAATAGTCATGATGTTACCACGGCTACATCGTCACCCATAGTCGATGGTACGGTCACATTGAGCGAGGAGTTGGACTAGTCGAGGTCGGATTAGCAGGGTTCTACTGCATACACAATTTATTATTATGTATTATAGAGGACTAACTTTCCGTCAATGTGGATGATGATGTCCGAGTGATATCCAGGAGAGTTGTCCTTGTTCAGAGGATGTTTGAATACTGGAGCGACTGGTAGAAGTTCGGCATATTCATTTCTTGATTCAACCACCTTTCTGTAGGCAGCTGGAGTTACGAAAGCTGAAATATCAAAAATATTGTCAAATAATATTACTTCTATAATATTACACTATTCTCTGTCTTTAATCATAGTTAGGAGTTAAACCTGTTTTTAAAATATTTTTTGGCCTTGTCCAGTCCAATGTTAAAATCAAATGGTATCACACATTAAACATAATTCAATATGTAATTAAAAAAAAATGTTTTAACATCACAAACTGTATTGATGCTAGATTCTGCCTAAAAATACAGATTAACGCGGTTCATAGTGAGGCGCTGTCTCACATTCCTAACATTGCGCAGTTCGATAACTTATTCCACTCTTTTATGAGCACAAATATTCGTGAAACAGCATGTAAGGTGTGACTCATATTATTTATATACATTTGAGAACATCTGAAATTTGATTACCGTATAGATGCAGCAATAAACAGGTTTTATTTAGAAAAATATATTAGTTATGTGCATGTGCAGCCATCCACTATTGGTTCAACTAGACATTCCATCCTCATGTTCAATTTATCGCCAGATTTTTAATAATAATTGTCGTAGTCGGTGTGAGCCATCGACAGATTGTGCTGATCTAAATTACTAATTTCTGCTGAATACACATTTTTAGGAATTTTACAAGTTAAAATATGTTTAACTAGTGGATTGACTTATTGTGGGTATTACAACTGTTATGACCCATCAACTTGGTCAGCAACAAAAAAAAGGTATAAAATAGAATTTTAGACACTAGCGCATTCTGTAACTGGCTCACACAACAACGTTCTCTTTTAATAAAAACTAGGTCTATATAGATTGGATGTCTACTTCAGTATCCAATAGTCAATGGTGTGACTTAACATTTGATACCAATGGCATGTTAATTATTTTTATTTCAAACAATTATTCAGATGTTGCCTTAGTTTTTCTATGAATATTTTTATTTATAACAGATTTTTCTGTTTTAGAAAGAAATAGATTGCAAAATTAGCAAATTGTTTCACCCAAAAAATCTTTTGTCAATGTCTAAAAAATCTGAACAGTAAACCAAAATAGTTACTACATATTACAAATAAATACTGTGTGCAATTTAGGTGGACGTTTCAAAGATAAACAAATTAAGTTAAAGGTTTTAACCTATATCAACGGAGTCAGCAGTGAAGGGATCTTCTCGGTCGGGGAGAGGGCCGTTGCCTCGTGTCTCGTAGATGAGTGTCGCCTCACAATCTAGAGCCTCTTCTAGGTACACCATGAGCAACTCGTACAACTCTACAGGGTGGCTCGGACACATGTAGGTGATTAGTCGCAGCTTGCCTCCCTTTCTGCCCATCTCAGCGGGCTGCAAAACACATCGGTTTTTATTTTTTTATACCCACCTTCACATCCTAGGACGCTAGAATCAAGCTCAGAACTGTTTTACTTATAACATTAGACCAGTCTTAGAGGGTTGCTGCATTATCAGATAAATCAAGTCCATTAGCGATTGGCAATGGCAGGATTTGAACCTGGGACCTCAGGCTCTGAAGCCCCGAGCTGTTCCGCTAGACCAGCTTGCTCTCTGCAATACATATAGTATAAACACTCCACAACTTGCATTATTGAATTTATGTGTAATATATTCTCATTATCCAACAAATATTCTAAAAATGGTATTAGGTATTATCATAGACAAAAGAAATACCATAGACAAATGGTCTATTGTCTGTGGTATTATTAATATCAAATATCTCAATATCTGGGTAGTGCTCGCCTATTAATAAGAAGCTCACTGATTCAATCCTGACTAAAGTCAATCAGAAGTTCTTAGATATTACATTAACTGAATGCTGAGGCAGTGGCGGTTCCAAGGGGGGCTATAGGGACTAAAGCTCCTCCCCTTGGACCCTTGAAATATGAATTAAAACATACATTTTAAAATATAATGCAATAGCAGGTGTTTGGACACAGTTATAGACGTTGAAAATGGCTTTAAAAGTCACCAAACGGCTTCAAAAATAGTACATTTTCCGGGGGAGGACCCCCAAACCCCCCTCCTGGTTTGGGTCACCCCCGTTAGCCACCTCTTTGATGTGGTCCTAGAACCGCCACTGTGCTGAGGTATCTAATCTGATGGTGATTTGGAATTTACCACTTAAAGCTTTTACTATTTCATTCATATTTAATTATTTGCGTAAGCTATTTTATTGTTTAAAAATAAATTACATTGTATTTATATTTATATTTAATAATATGTAATTATATTTATTTGTTTCATACAGTTTACTGTATGAAGGAAAATATTGGGAAATACTTTTACATATATTATGTTATTAATTAATAAATTAAATATATAAATTTCTAAGTAAAAAATGTAATTTGAAAAGTTTCAACAAAAAACGTTATTTGTACTTTATTTTGATTTGTTTAAGTTTTTTCCTTATGATTATCTTGATTCTTGACAGCAATAATTTAATGTTGTGTTGTAACTTACATTGTTTGTTAAAGATAAGCAAGTAGGAATTTTCCTGTGGGGTGCCAACTGTCAATACATAAAACAATACCCCCGCCGCAGCAAACCTGCAGACTAAGCGAATTTCAACTTGTCTGATTTCATTTTTACTAAAATATTTCCATAAATAAGACATATGTATTCCCAATTTAAATAACATTAGATTTTACCAGTGCTTAGGTTTGCTGCTACGGGGAAGGTAAAAAGTGTTTTTTGACCATATGTCAATACTATAGAATGAAATAAATAAATTTGCCAAATTTTATCAACATAATCCATAAACAAGTAAACTACAACAGTTTTCATTTTCTCCATAAGAATAACATGGGAATTTTAAATTACATTTTTTTATAATTTTCTCCGTGACCGTTAGGGATAAAACAGCGCTTCAATATACTAAATTATTTCTTTTTTTAAGCTCTACAAAATGGTTGAGAAAGAAATTGCAAAAATTTTTATTTTTAGGGTTAAAAATGGGAAAAACCCATTTTTACCCCATAAAACCCCCCATAAACCCCTGTTCCCTTGGTCCGATTATGCTGGTTTGCGAACTCGTTTGAATAAACGTAAGTTTACACGTTAGAACCAAATTTCATCAAAATCGAATCATATTTGCTCAAGTTATCGCGCTAACGGACACATATATATATATATATATATATATGAATTTGAACGGATGGTGTTTTTGGCCTCTGGGGACCTCAAAACGAAAAAGTAAATCGGTCCCGGGTCTAGGTCTTACCATGAGACCTACGGTAATAGCTTATTCCCTATATGGGAAATTCGCTAATACATAACCTTAAAATTACAAACTTGCATAATACAATTAAAATAACACACGGTAAAATAATGTTAGTATACTTAACTTTTTCATAAATATACTTACTAAATTGATCAAATACAGTCCCAAATCTTCTAGAACGAAACAAATGCCACTAGAGAACCAGTTGTGAACTGTTTGTAGGTTAGGTATGGATATGGAACAGTGGGAGTGGACCAAGAACTAACTAGGGACACACGACTAGGTCCGTAACCGGTCACTGGTTCGACACGATCCTACAACATGTCTGCCAAGGTCAAGGCGAACAGCTGATAACTTACAACAATGTTCACTCATTCTACATTCGCCTCTTATCAGTATCACACTGTCACTAGCAGCGATTGAATATTTGATTCTTGTCTCATGTAAAAAATAGTTCGTGCTGTAGATTTGTTGGCTCTAGTAATCTTAAAGGTTTTTTAGCAAAGGTTAATACTTTGCCTGCTATGCGAATTTACATTTTGGTTGGATTTTCATTCAAACATTCCCTTAAAATCTTCAGATTTATTTCGTATTTAATTTTGATGAGTACTCAGGTTTGCTGCTATAGGGAAGTTGATAGAGTATGTTTTTATTTGAAAGGTTTGTATTAAATAAACAAAATTTGCCATATTTGATAAAAATATATCCCTAAACAAGCTAACTAAAATAGTTTATTTATTATCCTTAAAAACAACATTAATTTTAAATTTATAGTAGCCTATTTTTGAATTTTCCCGTAACCGATTGACGTATATAAATGTTTCATTGTACTAAATTACGTTTTTTATATGCCCTACAAAATGGTTCAGGAAGAAATTGGGAAATTGTTATTTTTTAAGGGTCGGAAATAGGAAAACACCATTTTTACCCCATACAATTCCTTTCCTATGGATCATGCTGGTTTGATAACTCGTTGGAATTAAAGAAGGTTTACACGTTATAACCAAATTTAATCAGTGTTTGGTGATTAGTGAAAAATTTGTTCCAGAATCCCCAAGACTGGATGTTTCGTTTTCTTCGAGAACAGTCTCATCTTTATTACTATAAATTCCATCAGGTCTACCAATTTAATAAAGTAAGAATCTAGTTTAATTTTATTGTCAATTTCCTTGTGCTTTAAACTTACTTATAGACGATTGTTCGTGCTGGGGCTCGTCTAATAGTGCAGCACCTTAATTGTGCGGACTAATGTTCAAATCCTTCCAATCACCAACAAGAAAGGTTTTGCGTCATTCAGTAGAAGGTTGCTGATCCAATCCTGAGAAAAGTCCAAATCTTTTTAATAGTTCAAAGCTTGACTCAGCTGTCCTTAATTCGGGATTTTAATAAATTATCTTGACTGAAGTAACAGCTGATTTATAGCCAGTTAACAGCTGATAATCGTCATTCACACACTCATCGACTCATTGTTAATTCATCTTGCCTTAAATACGCCTCGATGCAATAAGGAATTTGGGGGTCGAGCTAGTGAGAGCAGGGGAGTTCTGTAGTCTGTTGCACGGGACTTCGGTCCCTGCTCCCTGAGTTCGAATCCCATCAATCACCAATGGATGTTTTCCAAGTGGTAATGCTGCAACCTTTACGCATTGCCTGAAATAACGTGAATAACTATCCAGCATAAAAAAATAATAAGGAATTTAGTTACTGAAAGGATAGACGAGGAAATCCAATCTTCTTCCAAGATAAATCGTATACCCTATAGAACTGCTAAAAGGGTAAATTTTGGGCTACAAATTATCAGAGCAACCATTTTGTCAGTTCTTTCTACCTCAAGGTCACCATATCGACAGACCCATCTCGCTGGCGAAAGCTGCAGATTGCCGTTTAGTCGAAAGTGCCACGTCAGCTACATGCTGTACAATGGCCCATCAAATGGTCGCCGGCCGTACATGGAGGCTGACTGGCATTTTGACCATGCAGCCGCGCGGTTCTGTGTAGCTGGTGCCAATAGCTCAGTCATTCAGTTTCTCCGGTTTGAAGAAAGCTAATCATAATCTGGCTTGATTTAGCTGTTAACTGGTAAAGTTAAGAGGTCTTGACCTGAAACAATGACTGTTCAAGAATGTTTGTTGGAGGCAAGAATTGTTTTAATTTTAAGTGAGCTGTGGTAATCTCAATGAACCAAGTTTTGTTTGTTAGATCGTTCAATTATGTACACACAGTTATATACAGCATGAATAATTATGTACAATTATGTACAGACACTCAAGGAAGGTAGTTTAAAATGAAGATGGGTGTTGAAAGTACAGTAGAACTTCTATAACAAGGCCCTTGGTAACAAGTGTCATTTTCAAATACTCTTGATTTTATACCCCTTACATATTGCAAATTCCGATAGTAAACCAACCTCGATAACAACTTTTATTTGAGACACGTAAGACACTGGTTATCGAGGTTTTACTGTACAGGGAAGAGTTACTGATAAAGATCAGATGTTTCTCAAACAGGTTCATTAATCCTATTCATCAAGGATAGTTGACTCCTTAAAATAGATATAGTGATTGACGCTTTCTTGATTTCTGCAACAATATGCATATTTGTATTGTGGCTCAAAATAATTGTTCGGAGCAACCAAACTAAAAGCAACATGAACCAAATTGTTTGGCTATTGTTTGAGTGTGCTTTTTAAGTATTTTCGGGAAATTGCACAAAAGTCAACAATTTCATTATACTTTTTAAAGCATATCGATAGAAATTGTTATTTGGATATTTTGTAAACACAATTTAGATTGTTATGTTTCAAAGGAAATGTCCAACCGGGACGTATTATCATAGACAAAAATAATTATTTAATTATTTTTGTCTATGGTATTATAAACCCTAATAGTTAGTTATTATTTTCCCAAATAAAATAAAAATATTACTCCTTTCCATAGAGTAGTGTAACTAAAATTCAAAAGTTTGGCGGAAATAACCGAAAACCCTTGTAATCGGGGTTTAAACTATCAAAAGAAAATTCGTAAAAATTGTGGATCATGAATGAATGTACGTATCATAAATGGATTAGACATAGTCCTATATGATTAAAATTTTTCCATATTGATTAAGCTCAATTAATTGTTAGCACAGTGACAAAACCAATAGTAAAATTTGTTGCTTGGAAAATAAAACTCCACCAAAATCAGACAAAACCATTATTATTTTTTTTCAAAAATTACTGAAATGAATTTTGCGAATATAATTGATGGATGATGTTTTATTAGCTAGATTTCTAAAGCTTCAAACATTTTCAAGAGCAAACTCACAAATTAGGATGTATCTATGAAGGCGATTTCTCTATTTCCATTCAACTAATGTCCAGAAAACCCCGCGAGTTCGCTTCCGCATTTGGGAGTCCACAAAAACAGATGTTTCCCAGTTGTCATACGGGACTCCCCGCTTTCCCGGAGGACTCTTAGATTTTTCCGCTTTCCCTGGTGTGAGAAGAACATTCCTTCAGTCTGTTGGGTGCTTATGTGGTTCCATATATGGATTTTAGTAGAGTGAGATCTCCATTATTGAGATAGTTCTCGTTCTACATTTTCTTTTTCTAGCTAAAGTTACTGAACCCACCATTAAAGATGAGTTACGAAAATTACTTCGTGATTTAAGCGAAAAGCTAAATTGGTGATCGATCGGGTTTGAACTTAAACCTTGTATATAGTATCTCGTGTTTTTAAGCGAGAAGAAGTAAAACACAAAAATAGATGGATTATTTTACATTCCTATACATCAACCCTCTTTGGTTGTTTGCAATCATAGCTTTATTAGTTTTGAAAATTTAAAATGTTCATTGTTTTCGAGACAGGAAAATTATTTAAATGGGGTAATAACGTGGTGTCAAGTAGACTAATCAAATTATTCGAATAAATTCGACAAAAAAATAACTTCTTTGCCAGAGGTGTCAGATGTCTATACATAGTGCAAGAAAAAATTACAAAATTACAACGAGTAAAAAATTATTGTGTTCGACTCTTGTTCAATCTTAGGCGTGATGACCATGTCACACCCTATTACATTAATGAATCAATTTTGAAATTGGAGGACATCAGAAAAATACGAATACTTTTCATTACCCTTTCGGCCATCAATATCGGAATCCCAAATTATCTTGCAAAGAATTTTAAATTTTTGAATGAAAGAGGCGCAAGGGACCACCACCACTGACTGAGAAACTGACAACTTTGAAAATTCATAGACACGAGACTGTTATACAACTAAACTATTTAGAAGGAAATTCAAAGGATATGCTAAAGGAGCGTAATTTTGAGTTTAAATTTCATTCCAACCTGCAAATACCTCTTACCCAGTAAATTAGAGTTTTCAAGAATGCTTTCTATATCCTAAAACCACTTACAAATCTCATTGACAAGACGAAGATATGTCACAAACATTGTTTACAATCTACCAACAATACCCTGTTGTCTCTAGTATTATAATTGATTGCCTACAAACGAGCGCATTGTCAGAGATGAAAGTATCGCCTACAGCTGTAGAACAAAGGCGAGTATAGCAAGTGTCGTTCTCATCCAGGTCAGCTGGAGAAATGGCGTGGGTTGCTGTTTATGTCAAGATGATCAGCTGGAATAGTCAGCTGGAGTTCCTCAAGTGTCTTGGGCCCCAATCCAAGTTCAATATGCACTTAGTATCCGGGACTTGTGCAAGTGAAAGTGTTGCATATTTTAGAAGACTTTTCAATTTGAATTTAATCATTACTAGCAGCCAGCGTCACTTCGTGACTTCAAAGTCCGGGATATTTGAATTAATTGACAATTTTCTATTGAAAATTCTATCAAAACACAAAATCTAAAGTCATTTTCTCATTTACATTATATACAAATAACATCACAATATTTTGATTGAATTCACTAAAACATCACCAACTGTAACGATAACTCCATTTTCGTATGGATTTAAACATTTTATTATGGCCATCTGTTTATACGTAAACGAATGTAAAATTGAAAAAGCTATGATGATTGACAACAGGTTTCAATACATACTATGAAATTTTAAAAATCAGGTAATTTTTTAAGATTTTTATTACAGTGATGTAATTCTATCGAATTAAACTAAGACAGTTTAGTAATGCACAATTCGTACTTTATTTGCACACTCTTTCTTATTCTTATTCTTAAACCTGCCGAATAAATCCCTATTTTGATGAACGATTTTCTTGAGACTCGAAAATGGCAATACATATAATATAAGTTTACACAACCCGTTTACAATGTGTATGAACGTTTCTTATAACT